TTCAGCAATACTTTTTAACATTATGTTAATCATTTCAAACTCAAGGTGTTAAAGATAAGATAATTAAAAATGAGGATCCGAGATACCCACAACACCGTACTCTCACGACAGCTCCACAGAAAATGACGACATTTGTGTATTTCTAGACTTTGTAGGTGTTTTATTCCGAAGAAAATACAAAAGGGCTTTCTATTAATCTAATTCGCTTCGCTAAGCTGTTTTGGCAATACATACGCCTATGTATAATAGACTCTTAATCACGCTAGAGCTGGAATTCTCAGTTTTATTTTGTATAAGAATAGTTTTTATCTGAAACGTTATAATCAATTAGGGATTGTAAATATTATAGAAAGAAAAAAAATGAATATTTGCTGATTTCATCATTTTACACAAGATTATTTGTTAAATTCTCAGAATATTATCTCGTTTTTGTTCTATAATATTTCAGTAATTACAGTTTTTTGTTAATTATAGTTTAATGATGGTCCGTGTGGTGACGGATTAAGAATACAGAGTGTCACCACCCCTATTCATCTCGTGGGTGTCGTAAGAGCCGACTAAGGAAGAAAACTTCGCAGAACAACAGCACTGCAGGGAGAAGGAAAACTTGACACAAACCATATACCAACCCGTTTGGCCAGCGTGATATAGTAGGCCAAAACCTCCTTTCTAAAGAGAGGCTTATGTCCAGCAGTGGACTATTAAATGCTGTTGATGATGATGTGATGTGATAGTTTTCTTTAGAATTACAGTTTACGTATTTTATAAACATCAATTTATTGTGTGACTTTTTGTAATACAAGATGAGTCTCTTTAGTTATTCTAATAAAAGCCTAAAATTCAATGCAGATGGTTTAGGCGGCAACTGGAACTAATAAAGGAACTTATCCCATTGATATGTACCAAGAAAGGAAAATAAAACATGATTTAATTTAAACCAAAGGCAGTTAAGTACACTATACTCACCACATATTTAACTTATTCTTATTAAAATAGATTATTTTAGAAATAATTATCTTTTATTATTAAAGAGTTCTGGCAAAAGAGTTTCTATTTTGAAGCGTAATTTATTATTATCATCATCAACAGCCTTTATTAGTCCACTGCTGGTCAAAGGCCTCTTGACCTTGTTTGGGTCACTTTACTTTTTCCTTCTCTTCGTAGCGTAATAAAAAAATAAGATTTTTTTAGTTAGTTTATTTTTTCTAGCAGTAAATATCATATGGTCGGCTTTTATATAATAATTACATTTTCACGTCATGAGACGTCATGTAAAGGTGCTAGGTACTTGATGTTTAAAAATAAAGATCCTAATCACATTAACAGCCTTTCATAGTCAACTGCATGATATATGCCTCTCCTTAGAAAGGAGATATTGGCCTACTATAACACGCTGGCCAGACGGGTTTTTATAGGGGTTGTGTCAAGTTTTGCTTCTCATTGCAGTGCTGTTGTCTTGCATAGTTTGCTCACTTAGTCGGCTCTTACGACACCCACGGAATAAATAGTGGTGGTGACACTCTGTATTCTTAATCCGTCACAACACGGACAAAGGATTGTAATATCAAGGTGTAAAGTCATCTGTTCTTTCGTCCTTAACTAATATAAACGAGGAAACCAAGAAGGACTTATTCACTGAGAAAGAAAATAGAATTAATGGGCCTACTACGTTTACCTTGTTTTTAATTACTTAATTCATTACATACATACATGAATAAAGAGATTATTATTATTTTATATTTATTATATATTATAGTGAGTAGGTAAGTCATAGCCTACGTATTAAAATTGATACAAAATCATTCCTGATATTCTGAAGAAATAGCCTAAGCGTTTAATGGTTTTACTGCCTCTTACTGCTGATCAAGTTAAGAAATGTTAATGTCGGAAAATAATAGAACAACGGCTTTGTATACTTTTATTTTCACATCCGACACGCAAGGCGGCTCGCGGTTACGAGCTAGTCATACATAAATAAAATAATACTTAAATGCTTTTAACAAATTGAGGCCTTTGTATGTAAAAAACAACGAAATTATTTACGTATCCATGCAAAATTTCGAATTATTTTTGTTGTAGCTTTACCTTGTTGGATTTTTAGACCTCATCGATTATTTTCACTCCGAAAGAAGCTCAAAATTTATGTTTTCATTGTGTTGAAGAATAGGATCAGGGCCTAATATTTTTTTTTTATTTGGATGATTTTAGGTCGCCGATATATCGAATAATCGGAATAATAATAAATACATAATAATGAATACATTTTTCGACTGTGGTGCGTATCAGTAAAAGGTTTTTCTGTTTTATTTAATATACTATTATTCTTTGAACTCAGAATAACACACCAAATGTTACTAAATGTTCAACAAAATTTTAGATACAAAGAGCGGTATTATCTTAGTCTGTTATCACCTACAGAGATCGCAAATGCTCTCGTAATGACGTTGAAAGGACATAAAAAAAAGATAAAAATCTTAGGGAAGTACTCAACCTCCCTTGAAATGTTTAATCTAATTTGATACGTAATATGTAAAATTTGTATATACAAGTATATATAACCAAAGTACTGAAAGCGCCAACCCACAAATTTGAAAGTTAGCCAAGTTATATCGACAGGGGGTGTTTGCGGTCGTCCCGCTCCGCTAGTCGCCTCGCCCAGCATCGCTTGTAGCATTTAACCGCCTACGCCCTAAATATTATTATCAAGTATTAACTTTTTTTTACCGGGAACCATGTTGATCACCTACTAATGCTGTAAGACTTTTTCGTACGGTTTTTAGGGTTCCGTACCTCAAAAGGTAAAAAAGGAACCCTTATAAGATCACTTTCTTGTCCGTCTGTCCGTGTGTCAACACCGATTTTCTCAGAAACGCGTAGACCTAGCAAGTTGAAATTTATACCAGATACTAAGGTCTATAGTCCCTATCAGGTGTATGAAAATCAAGGTCCTGAGTCAACACAATAAAAGATATGGGCAAATTTCGATCTTCGCGAAAACTTCCAAAATTTACCTTAATTTTCAAATTTTTTGATTTCTCAGAATTTTCTCTTTACTTGTGTTGCTTTTAACCAAAATTGACAATTCCGGGTCAACCGGAAGTTATAGGTATAGGTTATGCATATATATATATACAGGTTTTGGGTCGAAAACCTTTATGGTAGTTCCCGTTGACCTAGAATAACGAAATTTGGCAAAAAGAAACGTCTTACAGCACAAATAAAGAAATAATGCCAAAAATAAAAAAGTTGAAAATTAAGATAAATTTTGGTACTTACAAATTTTCGCGAAAATCTACGTAAAATCTGGGTAGGTATGGTACCCTCGGCGCGCGAGTTCGACTCGTACCTGACCGGTTTTTTCTTAAAGTATGTAATTGTAAGTTGGTAACGCTTTAATATGACATAGATATGACATAGGTGGACTTAGGGTTGTTAATTGCTTACATGAAGTTGTGAAATAAATAGTGATGTGTGAATATAAAATCTATCTTTCTAAAAATTTGAAATCGGTCATAGTAATATATTATGGATCACACTTTTATTTCCATTAAAGGCGTCCCTTGTAAAAATCCTTCAAACTGTTTTACGACCAATGTGAAGTTTTAAAAAAAATGATAATATCTCGAGAATTTCGAGAATTCTTTCTTTTTTCTTTTTCTTTTATACACTATGAAATCATTAAGGGTATGTTTGAAATTAAAATGTTTGAAATCATAATCAAATAAAAGTTTCGATACATTTTATCACAACAGAATACATTCTTCGATACTATAAGATGGCTAATAATAATAATATTATTACTATGAGTAATGTATTCAGACTTATAAGCTAAATGGCGTCCTTGACTGTGTGTGGTGATTAAACAAAAGATTTCACCATAGCAGAGGTCGCACGTCTGCATAGAACGCTGGCAAACGCTAGAGTGAGCGCTGCGCACACTACTATACAATTTACTTAGATATACCATCATACACAACTTACGAAAGTGTGTGCCATTACTTTTCGAGTGTCCTTTTAAAACACAACACAGACCTTATTGTCAGTTCATGGTGTGGTACATCCAGGTAGGAAAATTTGGCTTTTAGTATCGGAGACATACCAGAATCTATTAGTTTCGGTTATGGGTAAACGGTTTAAATTTAGAACAGTTAATTAAAAGACACAGTGCTTACAAAATTGCCTTTGAGCAAAATATTATTTCTGTACTTAAGCGTTTCGCACACGTTATCGCTGTTTTCAAACATTACGGCTGTATATTCGTCAAAACATATTAGCAAACATCCGCCATTGAACTGGTAATTTCACATTTCTCCTATCCAATTCGCAATCCGACGAATCATAAGAAGCACTTCAAAAAATCAAGGCATTGTTCCAACCGGTAAAAAGATGAACATAGAATACGCTGCAACCTGAGCAGAATTTAGTTGTTGGCGTCTGCGCTCAAGCAAGCGAAGCGACTCCGAACAGGGCCTGGGTAATTGAACTAATAAATCTAGCTGTGTAACTGCGCCGTGCTCTCAACTCGCTCAGGATCAAAGCGAAACCATTAAACCTACTCTGAGATTTTGCCTCACTTCGACTTGCATTTATTCACACGACAATGACGTGACGTAAAACTATCGTGCTCTGCGTTTTATTGACACAGTCTTTCGTTCTTTTTATAATGAGATATATCCACAACGAACAATAAATGTTTATATATGTAGCGAAAAGAGAAATAAAAAAGATTATCGTCGATCGTAAAACTACAATTGGAAATAAGAAGTTAGCACTACAACGTGATTATGGTGTAAGGAAGTACATCTTTTTAATGCTACATGTTGTTCAGTTTAAAATATTTCATGCGCAGGACGTTGCGTAGACACCACTTCATTATTTGTACAATATTAGTATTTAATTTTATTGGTATTATCAGTGCTGAGGTACCGAAATAATAATTTAATAATATTTTATAAGTAAATGCACGTTTTTTTTAATATTAATGAAATTACTTTTTTGTCATGCAGGGTGACAATGGTGAAACATTTTCCAATGACTTCCGAAATTTTCTAAGTGATTTGGGATCAATGGTGTACAAGACGAAAAGAACTGAAAATATCGAGCGCCCAGCCCAAAAATCAACCACAGTTATACCTGCAAAATATCGGAGAAAAGAAGTTAGTATTGGATCTCTCCTACTAACATCTAAAGGCAACTTTTAGATAAAACTATACCAGTTATTATGTTGAAACGTACTGTACCTCTTTCAGAATGTTCGCAATACGCAAAAGGAAATTCTAGGAGACATGTTGATGATGAAACTGGTATCTTATTATGAAGATAAATATAAACTGACTCACGAAAAAGATCCCGAACAACAGATCACAGAAAGAATCACTTCCGTGCCATTATATTTTAACAGATATAATGAAATTGATAGAAATGATTTGAGAGAGTTACCTTATAATAGAAACAGGAGATACAATGTTCCGTACTCAAGAAGGGTATGTTATTATTTAATATACACGTATACTACCTATGCTTATAAATATTTTTATTTATCGAAACAAAAAAACGTGAATTAACTTATCCACTTTAAATTAAGTATGTCTTAGTCAAGCTCAGCATCAGGCAAGCAATGCTGCTACAACCAAGTAGCTACCACACTGCAGTAATAGTAGTGCCTGGAAACCGTTTTTGGCAGATGGTATTCAACTCTGCCATGCCATGCCATATAATCTGATTAAAATATGTGTGGATAAATTGGCTTCCCATTGCCCTCAGACCATGTGGGTACTTTATCACACTGATCTCTGATAGTTTCATGATGTAATTTTGATAAAAAAGTTTGTATTATGAATAAGAAGTTGTTTTCTATGAGGCAATTATAGATCTTAATTGAACTGAGTTAGATAGAATTTAATATACTTTCGCCAAACTTTGATAATTCCATAAAGGCTGAATTTAAATGCTTGTTATTCTTTCAAACCGCAAGAACTGTTGATTAAAAAGGGCCTTTACCGCTCTGCCTGATTGTTTCTATCGTTAAACTGGATTCTCAGTAGAGTGTTAGATATCTAGATAAATAAATGATAGATTATCTTTGACTAATGTTTAAATTCTAGTCAGAAACTACTTATTCAGGTCGGGCGTAATTTAGAATCCTAAGCGTGTAAGTCCTTTTTATAATTCGCCTTCTAATTTGAAGTTATTAGAATATACAAATTGGTATGAGTTTCAAGCATCAAAGTTATATTTTCTTTTTCAGAACTATGATGATCCTGTGCCTGATGTCGTCGTTTTATAACATTATTTCCTACCTTATCTTAAACAGCCTGTAAGTCGCACTTTATAAGTGTGTATGATTATACAAAGCAAGAATGAATATCATGTGTACCTACATGATAAAAGATGATTAAAATAATAGGAATTAAAATTACGTATGTGTAAAATGAGATCAATATAAATAAAATATTTCCTACGTTTTTAATTATAAAATCTGATCAGTATATATTTACTATCCTTAACCAAAAAAGAAAATAAAATAAATAAATAAAATCGGTTGCTGAATTAACAACTGATAAACTGTCGGATAATAAATATACCTCACGAAAAGGAATAAAAAATAAATAAACTAAAATTACAAAAAAAGTTGAAATAGATTCTTTTATATAAATTTCTAATATCGAGATTTGCTCAAAACAAAGAAGTTGACTTATTTTAGTTGATTTCAGAGTGCTTTTTCAAATTTTATGGAGATCGACCCTCATTGGCACTTGCTTAACGGCGTGGATCAAAATATACTCCTGGGGACAACTCTATCTGCACTGAATGTCATCTATCAGCGGCTATGCCGGATTTTAGCAAAGACACCGTGTCCAACGTAGCTCTCGGGATTACGTTACGGATGATAACTATTAAAATTCAACGACAATATCTCAACGCTAAGTATTTTGCGTTTAGGTAACATTGCCATTTTAATGGTAGGTGGAGATTTTGAATGTAATATATTTGGTGGGGCTCGTGGCTAAGTGTAACCAAGTAGGTTAACAAATTGCAAAGCTTAGCAATCCCAGCCAGGTCGGTCTATGAATGGGTGACCAATCTCAACACATCGAGACCCGTCCGTTCCGATTGACTTACGAACATCTTTGGCAATCGTTACGGGTAGTTGGGGCCTTAAAGAAGTCCGTCAACAGTCTTTCTACGGGTACACTACACAAATACGAAAAACTTTATTCCGTCAGTCACAAATACGCAAAATTCCGATTTTTATAATTCCAAATGGTTCAAAATTCCTAATATAACAACTCCGATTGATCATTCATACTAATTTTATAATTCAAAAATTTCAATATTCCTTGTTTATGATTACCTACTATGAAAAAAATACCGAGTTTCAATAGATTGAATAGCAAAAAGTCCGACTTAATGATATTTCGAAATATCAAAAATTCGAATTATTTCTATTTTCTTTCGAATAAAAATATTTTCTTTCCCTGGTCACAGTTCTAACCTAAGTTAGGTTACCACAATGATTCACCAACAACAGAAAGGGATAAGGCGCTCGGCTCGCCTTCGCGCTTTAATGGTCACAGTTCTAACCTAACCCAAAAAATTCCATAATAGTAGATGGTACCCGGCTCAGGTATATGGAGAAGGAACTACAAAAAAATATTAATACACAAATATTAATAACATTATAGAATCTTAATTTTAGGAGTTAATTCGAAAAATTGAAAATCGGGATGTCGTTCTTCGGACCGAGAACTCATCGAGCATTTGATTCTTGGAACATATAAAAATCGGAAACAACACATTTACGATTACTTTCGATATAATAAATTTCGTGAACTTTAACAATAAACATTATAATTCTCAGGTATTATAAAATACGGTCTTTTCAAAATCGGAACATCGAAAATCGGAATGAAATATCTCATAGTATTTGGGTGTTCTCTCTTTCTACAGAACGTCGTATCTAAGTATTAAAGCCGACCCAAACCTATTTTGGGAAAAAGACTCGGAGGATATTTGGTGGGTAATATTTATTGTTCTTGATTAATATAGTTTTTTTATTAAAAGTTTTAGTCATTCCGGTAGTGTTGTAATTTTTGCCATTTTTTTGTTACCTTTATTTGATTAATTAATTCCATATTCACTTTATATGCATTAAAGAATAAAGACCACAGTCATAAGTAATATTACGAAAAACAGACAAAACTAATGGACTTTTTTATAATCATAGCAGTTATGAATTACATTTTATTAGGTATCTATTTTTGTCTCGTGTAGCGACGCCTCTATATTAGTGATTGTTTCACTAAACAAGAACTGCCGAAGGTAATCTATTTACACCACTCTAATTATAGATTGTAAATTACAGTACTCAAAATTCTTTAATGCTTAATTGATTGTTTTTTGTATGTATAGATATAACGACATTTTGAGTATTTTGAAAACGGCTGTTACAATTTTATTAAAATCATAGGAGTCGTTTTTTCACACGACATCACAATTACTAAACATAATTATTAAAGTTTTGCAAGCGTCGTTTATATTAACAACGAGATAAGTTTTAATACTAACTGCAACAGAACAATAAAATTAAATTTCCGAAATCCTCACAAAAATTACCAACATGTGACAGTTTTAATTAAATCCCGTGTGTTGTACTGGCAACATCGTCACGCAAAACATTATATTCACAACTTTATCCACAAATTATGTTTACACCATTCAAATAGACGTTCCTTGCGCAAATACTTTTGTAACTTAGTCCATTAAAGAAACTCTACACAAGTAATTATCATAACACAAAGTGGTTTGTTTAATGTTCCTCTTACATGACAAACAGCACCAAGTATCAGTAAAATGTCTTAAAATTAACGATGCCGATTTAATCACCTGTGTTAACTAAATATCATGTAAGTACGCATTTATTTTTAGGAAAATTATACAATATTCTTAAACTGCATTGAAAAAAGATAAATTGATAATTATCACATTAAATCACTACTAACTTTTACCTGCTTCTATCTTACTCGTATAACAGATTTTTTTCCAAATTTAAACACAATAAATAACCAAATAATAATATAAATTGTATAAAATATATTTACGGTATGGTGTTGGCCACGGATATATTATATTTCGTTAGCGCATGAAAATTAATTACTTCTGTAGAAATCTTTAAGGTATACTTTTCAACAAGCATTATATATTTCAAATCTAAAGAAAAATCTTAAGGTACAAAAATATTTTGAATTAGCCAGTTAAATCAGTCTTTTTTAAGGCATGAATCTCATAAAACATGTACTTCGAGCAATATTATGCCCAAGTAAACTATGTTCCTCTTTTCGTTTATGCTGTTTTGCGACTGCGATGCAATGCTAAGTAAATAATTGATACACAGTTGGTACCTGAACATAATTACGGTAATACTTTTTAACTATGACAACCTAGGTGACTTATAACCATAAAATCATGACCAGCATTATACTTTTCTTACTAGTGATCAACCTGTCAAGTTCATAGCAACATCTGCATGAGAAGTTCAATTTTTTAAGAAAATTTTACAATAATATAAACTTTTTTTACATTTGCTGATCAATCCAAATTGCCGTCATGAAACACATTTTATGACAACTTTTTGTCAGTAATAAGCTTTATTTCAGCCCCGTTATAAACTGCGTGAGTACCATAAACCTTAGGAATCGCGTGTTTGACCGAGAGGCCATCGTAAAATGCTTCATAAACTTGCGCACATAAATTTAGAAAATCGAAGTCTGAAAATGAATATAATTTGCATTTACAAAGAACAAAACACGAAAATGCAGCACAAAACCGAATATTAAGTTTATATAATAATAATAATCCCAGAGAATAAACATGCACTCTTTTTCAAAGAATAAGAAAAGTCTCGTAATAATCATCTACTACAGCTTTGGCAGTGTGCCGGCATTGCAATAAAGTTAAATCTCGACGGGCAACAGGCCCGACGGGGAACGGAAAATAAGGCAACTTGTTATGATGCTGCTCCAGCAAAACAATGCCCGAAACATGCCGATCGTATAAGAAAATAATATGGGCCTACGAATAATAATATCCGCTATAGCATATCTGAAATTATATTACGTGTTTGTATGCATATGGACATTTTATGAGAAACCACTTTTACGTACCTGTAATCTTACCGACTTATTATGTTTATAGTGCAGCGTGTTATGTTAAAGTTAAAGGAAGTTGTAAATTATAATTATTAATAATGACGAATGAAAGAATATGATACACATAAGAAGCATATGAATTCACTTTAGTTTCCTATATTTTCATCTTCTGTATTAATCAATAAGTACATTTAGTTAACAGTAAGAACAACTTAATCAAATAAGATATTTTTATTTCCTGGAGCTTAAACTCTTTTAAGAACAGTTATATTTTGCTCTGTTAAAACATAATTGTTCTTAAAAGAGTTTATCATTTTTTATGCTGAGGCATAACTAACACTGTTATCTATATTGAACTAGGTGCACCCGTAGTCGTCGTCCCACGGAAACACTTTTTCGGGATAAAAAGTATGCTAAGCCTATGTGCTATTACAGACTATAATCTATCTCTGTGTGCAATTTTAAAAAAAACATACAAACTCTCGCCTTAAAAATATTCGTAAGATGTCTTATTTTCAAATATATATTTGTCACTATATTGTGTTTACTATGAGTTACTACTAGTTTCCTCAGACTCACTGAGTGAAAGAAGCTTACGTATAAGTACTTAAAACAACAAGTAACTACGCTTACAATTATACAAATATGTTTAAACACGCTTGTGACTCTTGAATTGCTTGATAGTAACTTTCCACCAGACTCTTTTGCTCGTTTGCAACCTAATCATAAAAAGAGGTAAAGAGAGAATATTTGTTGAGAGTTTTGTTTTTAACTTCTTCACATGATATTCTGGTTTACTGGATTTGGATTTATATTTTATTTATATTTTTATATTTGTTTCAAATTATTTTATTTTAATGTTATAATTTTGATACAATGCAAATTTAGTTAAAACTTTACAATTATTCATATCACTCAAATATTTTATGTGTTATCAAAATTATTATAACTGTAACAGTTATTTGTAAGAGACACCCGTCGTTTTATGAGTTTAATATTTTTCAAATAAAATACATTTTAACACAACGTCGTGGATAATCGTTTATATTTTGTTTTTGTGTACTTTTACTGTCTATTCACCACGATTCTCTTTTTAAAAAGCATTAAAACACAACGACTGTCAAGTCAGACAATAAAG